CCACATCAGAAAAGATATAAAAGGTGGGCGAGATAGCGGGTAGAGACCCAACAATCGCACCCCACGCGTCGTCCAACGCGTCTATCCTCTCGCCGCTGAGTATATCACCCAACGCGTCTATCCTCTCGCCGCTGAGTATATCACCGCGAACAGTGTATAGCACTCCACGCCTCAAAGAAGGAGAGGTATTCACAACGATGTGAGTCTGCTCCTGTGCTCGTCATGCACGAAGTGGACTCACCTGCTGTCCAGGACACGTCCGCCGGGCCCCCAGATTCTCAACTGCATCCGAAGATTACAGATCTCCTGCTCCTTCTGCACTCACCATGTCGTACAGCCCGCACCCGCCGAAGTGTGGTTGGCCACGGCCATTTTCACTCACTGCACTGGGGACGAAGCTGCGCGAGGCCCGTGCCACTGCTTGCCGCATGCTCCAGCTCCATCTCCCTACCCTATGCATATCAGAGCCGCGTCACCTCCTGATCCTACTCACCACTCCGAGGCCAGTGACGTCTGTAATCCCTTCGGTCGCTGGATCAACAGCCGGAGGAAAGTTTCATAGCACTCGCGGGCTCGCGCGCGTGCAGCGTTCCCTGAGGTGTCGTGGACAGCGAATTGACATCGCTATACTTCTCTATGAGGACAAATCAAACAAAGTGAAGGATGGGGCACTGATTTATTCACCACGGCCATCCGCCATTCGTTCCCATCCCAACGCCGTACCCCACCCCCTCGACACCTCTCTCGCAGAGCACCATCAGGCAGATGCTAGGCGGTGCTCGGTGATAGATGTGTCGAAGGGGTTTCAGAGGTTCAGAATGTATCTATCCCCGACGAATCTCAAGGGTAAGAGACTGAGTACACGAAGATTCAAACAGCCACAGCCCCCAACCACAGCTGATGATGTCGCCATCAGTAGACGCTTTCGTTGCCCCGACCTGAACACAAACGTTCCTCACTATAGCCCGCTCGGCCTGTTTATTTTCCAAATCTCTGCGCCGTTTGCCGTACTCGCGCGCATACAGTCCTCGATGTCGACCCGATGTACAACTGTGGTTGTCTATACCCTTGATCTCATCATTGCTTGGGACATCGCTCCGTACTGATTCGCGAGCGTTGGTGCTACTGCATTTCGCGCTGCGGCTGCGCGATACCGTGGCTTTTCCTCCGCTAGAGAGGGGGAATGGAGAGGGTGTGAGCGAGAGTAGTGCGGTTACATTCTGTTGGCATCACAGGCTTTGGGGTACGTCCGCTCTCGTCGTTCTCTTTCTCTTCCCGTGAATTCCTTCCCCGGCCACGTCCCACAAATTCACCGCGCCGTTGGATCTAAATGCACTTATTCATCGTGCTGAGACCGTCCAACCGCCTTACTTCTCCGTCACGCTACCCGTTTCGGAGCTCTCCTGTTCATCGGTTTGCTTCCAACTCGTTCTCTCGGACCGCTCTGTTTCGAAATTTTTCCTTCCGAAGAGGCTCTTGCGTATATTATCTTCTTGCACTCTTGCTACTTCATAGTCAGGTATCAGGACTAGACATTAAACTACTCGGTCTTCTGTACGTGATCCTTTTGGCTGGTCGTTTCCTTCCTCCTCACTTTCTACATACTCTTCCGTAGTAGAGGTGGTATGCGGCGCTATGTGCGCACCACATGGTCCGGCTAATCAGGGTCAATGGTTATGGAGTGCTTTCACGGCCGGTAGGTCCGCTCCCTCTGCATGATACACCCCTTTCCCTGCCCCCAGATCTTTTGTACACCGCCGCTCGGCCCGTGATAGGAGTGCTCGACCCAGTTGTGAAAGTCCTGAATACCTCCGCAGCTTGGTCTAGCACTGATATCGCACGGATGGCCAGACGGCGAGAACACTATAGTCCTGCCCGGTCTCAGAGTCTGAGCCACCGAGCACAGTTGTCGCCGCGTCTGCGCAACTGGCCCCTTTTTGACACACTCTGCGATGCGCCACTCAGCGCTGTCGACGCCGTTGTTGCCACCGCGGCGTGGTCACCCACTGGTATCGCGCGCCGATTCCAGTGGATGGCCAGGCAGCGAGGACAATATAGACATGTACAGTCTCAGAGAGCGAACCATGGAGAGCAGCTGTCGTCGCGTTCGCGCAACTGCCCTCTTTTGGCCGCACTCTACGCTAAGCGGATGAGCGCTGTCAGAGCCGTTGATGCTATCGCGGCGTGGTCACCCACTGGTATCGCGCGCCGATTCCAGTGGATGGCCAGGCAGCGAGGACAATATAGACGCGTAGTCTCAGAGTGAGAGCGGCGAGAGGTGGTGTTAGCTGAATTCGCTTTGTTTGCATCTTTTATAGCACTGGGGTCGCGAACCTCAGCGCGCGCCACAGGAGTGCTTGGGCCCGTGGTCGAAGCGCAAAGGCCAGCGCGGTTTCGGAGGACTATGGCGGTGGTCAATGCTCGCCACGGCACAAAGAGAAAGCCCGGTGTCTTTGTGGTGAGGCCGGGAGCGTTGAGTGTATCGGGTTAATGCGGAATATTGTCTCGCGTCCGACATTGACACATTGCTGCAGACGACAAAGGGATGTTGCACTGTCAGGCGTGCTATGACTTCCTTGATACAACCCAAAACCGATGTCATGGGTAAGACCCTTATTGGGATGAGACAAAGAGTGCAGGCCAAGGCCTAAGTGTGTGAGGCACGCGGCGACCGAAGCGGCACTCTGTGGCGTTTGTATGGTCTTTCAGGAAGTGTATAAAAGGAGGAACTGCACAAGCTATGGAATCCCACCGCTTCATCTCCAACTTCGCATCTTACAGTCGTATACATCGCACGTCAACGCAGACTCGCTGCACAGTCCATACCGATCCCAACCGTATTTCTGCGCCCCCCACCTGACCGAAGACATGTGAGTCTTTGTTAGTCCCCTGTACACGTGTGCAGCTGACTTACTCGGTCTCTAGGAGTCTCCAACCAGCTATGGGACAGCAACACACCCGCACACTCCTCCGATTCCAGTGGACGGCCAACCTCCCGGGACCGACTCTCCGCAGTCTGGTCACGAACTCCGGACGCGCCCGGCGCTAGAGATCGTCCACGTGAGGCGGTACGCGCACTACTGAGGGACGACGAGAGAGTTCTGCCTGGGTCGCGCATTCGCCTGGATCTCGAGGGCCGACAGTCCCCATCTGCCGTTGTATGCGGTTGCGATGTGCCCGGTTAGACGGTTCCATGTCCACACTAGGCCGGCGGGCCGTGGTCGCGAGGACTCGGCGGACGTCTCCAACCAAGCTGGCGGTAGTGATGAAGGGACGGAACACGAAGAGGCCTAAGGTGGTGCTCAGTCTCACTGCAGGGACAAGCTGTATGCCCCATCCGGTCATACTCCTGCAATCACTCCTCACTTGGATGTGGAAGAGGCCATGGGTGCCGGGAGTCAATACTCCCGTTCCCTGCGCACTCCCTTCACTGAATGTCTCCCAGTGCATGCTGGGCGGTGTTCAGTGATGGGAGTGTTGAGGGTATGCATCAGACTGGACATACCAGCTGGTATATGGCCACTAGGGCACGGTAGGCAGCAAATGCTTACAATGGTCCATAGCAATATCTGTACTGAGTTGTAATGCACTATCTCTGCGGTCGGTAGCATCATAATTCAATGTGTATTCAGTTGGGTGGGTGCTTCTATCATGTTCACCTCACACCGAGCGTTCTCCGGAGCGCTGCGCAGTGACATGGGCATCGCGGACGGATGCGATCACGCGCGAGTCTCTTTCTTCGTGCACCACTGGGGAACCTGACTTCCGCTTCACCCAATACTCCGCTGCGAGCATCGGTAGTAAGCCCGTAGGACTGCAATGTTCTGCGAGGGATACTGGACCATGCTGTATCATCCCTCACGTAATATAGTCAAGTCTGTCACGTATGATGCCAGCCGGAGAGGTGTTCCGAGTCCGAGTCCGGATATTGTTCGTCAGAGCATCACCCAGTGGGCTGCGCTGTAGCAGATCCTTGCAGAGGAAGCAGAAATCGTGCGTAGACAGGTACTCGGAAACGGGGCTGGCGAAGTACGCGATGAAGCAGCTGTCGGCGATGGGGATGTAGATGAATCCCTGACGCGCCCACGTTGCGTCGATGTCGACGCGGTGGGTGATGAGGTTCTGGGGATCGTGAATGTTTTCCGGGCCTGGCACTTGCAGGCGATGGCATAGCATCCCGCGGAGAGACCGCGCGGCATACTGCGTTCCCGGTCGGATAGATGGCGTCATACCTGATACGCACGTACCCAGGTGCTCTTTTCGGCGGGAACGGTGTAGGAGGACTCGAGGAGGGACAGCGCTTTTTCTCGCCTACGAGCCGTGCGTCGAAGCCGAGTGCGTTACGACTTCCGGCGCCGCCGTCCACAGAAGGACCAGGGCGCGCTCTCGGGCAACCTGCCGTGAAGCAAAGCGCGGGGACGTCCTCGCGAGCGGCGGTACCCATGCGTCGAAGGAGGGGAAGAGCGCATAGTCCAGCGTCGGATCATTGTCGAGAATGTAGTGGTACGTACCTGCGGGGACGAGCCCGGATCGAATGGGGCGGCGCCCGTCCTTGTGACGAACCAGAGCGGGAGGAAGGGAGTAGTTGCGGGTGAGGACGGCGCAGGCGTGGAGCACGGTGGAGAGCGGTATGGAGGGGGCTGCGCTCCAGCGCCCGCCAGGCAAGGGGTGCCGGCGGCGGGGGAGGCTGAGGAAGGGCTGGGCGTGTTTGGCGTGCTGGATGATGAGCAGCTGGATGTCCTGCCTGCCGCTCAGGTTCTGCGCTGACGGAATAGCGTATGGAGGGAGCGGCCGCTTGCGCCATCCTTCAGGGAGGCTTCGCTGGGGCTGAGGGAGTGTGAGCGGCTTGCACGATAATAACAGCCATAAGGGTCAAGGAGCGGGAGGTGCGGAAACAAAACCGAGGCTGCATTAGGTCAGACGGAATAGCTGGATTAGGAAACGGTGGCTGCGACAGCACGGTCGAGGTACGAATACAAAGGACAGAGAGAGAGAGAATTCTACAACTTGGGCGCCACAGCCTCTGGCAGATCCACAACCTTCCCGACAATATTATACCGCTTCCTATGTGCACGTCAGCACGACACGCTCGCAGGGGACAATGACGCTGATACGCACGAGAAGAAGCTGTGCCAGTCGTCGAGGACCTTCATCTCGTTCTCGGGCAGGGCGCTGTAGTCCGGGACCGCGTCCTCCGCGTTGAGGCTCGACATGCCCAGGCCCCTGCTCCCGTCCTTGCCCGCGAAGATGTGGTACGACTTGCCCGGGCCGTACACGTCCTTCTTGTGCGTCACGTCGAAGACCGTGCCTGCCCCGCTGCTCAGGCGGTGGACACATTTAGGGTTAGGGGGAGGAGCGCACCTTTGATGGAGACGTAGATGGGCTTGGACGGGTCGGACCCGTCGAACGCTTTCAGCTGCTCGAGCGTGTACGGGTCGTCCTTCGGCGGTGCGAGGTCTTCGCGCGGCGGCTGCATGATCGTCTTTGGCTTCTCGTCGTCGCCTCGGGACTGCGGGGCGGCAGAGGCGTGTGCAGACGTAGTTTTGGAGAAGTGGCGGCGGAGGAGGAGGACCGGGAGGAGGAGTGCGAGCG